TGTCTATGTTACGTTTGGTTTCAGAGATCAGTAGAAGGTATGTTTCCCTGTCTATGTTACGTTTGGTTTCAGAGATCAGTAGAAGGTAGGCTTCCCTGTCTATGTTACGTTTGGTTTTAGAGATCAGTAAAAGGTATGTTTCCCTGTCTATGTTACGTTTGGTTTCAGAGATCAGTAGAACGTAGGTTTCCTTGCAAATTTGTCTATGGTAAGTTTGGTTTCAGAGATCAGTAGAAGGTTGGTTTCCCTGTCTATGTTACGTTTGGTTTCAGATATCAGTAGAAGGTATGCTTCCCTGTCTATGTTACGTTTGGTTTCAGAGATGAGTAGAAGGCAAACATTTTGTCAATACGTTTTTTGCAAATTTTCAATGAAAATCGAACACGACTTTCCTCTCAGTGTAACATATTTTGAGCTCGAATGTGGAAAAGTAAACAATTTCCTCTCTGGGTCACGTGTCTGGTTTGAAGTTAACATGCAAAGGTTCTGGAATTAAATTGGAAAGTAAGGCAGTTTCCCTCTTCGTGTCACGTGTCTATTACTAGAACTAAATCGAAAAAATAAGTAGTTCCCCTCTTCGTGTCACGTGTCTGTTGCCGGAGTTAAAATTGAAAAGATAGGCAGCTTCCATCTTCGTGTCACGTGTCTAGTTCTAGAATTAAATTGAAAATTTAGGCTGTTTTCCTTTTCATGTCACGTGTGTGTGTATATCTATAATTATATCAAAATGTATTTTGGTATTGTTGTCATTAATCAATTCTGAAAGTTCACGGATATATCTCTGGAGAAACTTTATGTATAAGACTTTTCATCAACCACATTCAAAAGTTCAACATCTTCACAATTTGAATAAATGTAAAAAACTCGTCTCTTCAGCCTTTGTTAATTGTGAAAGTTTATATGATTTCAGATGATTTTGTTTTCCATTTAGATGAGAAACTCGTACCTCATTCTGGATGAATACGTAAGTATACTGTCAGGTTTCTTACAATGGACTACATTAATCTAGACCCTGTCTACCACTAGACACACTAATCCCTAATCGAGACCCTGTCCACCACTAGACACACTAACCCCTAATCGAGACCCTGTCCACCACTAGACACACTAACCGGTAATCGAGACCCTGTCCACCACTAGACACACTAATCCTTAATCTAGACCCTGTCCACCACTAGACACACTAATCCTTAGTCTAGACCCTGTCCACCACTAGACACACTAACCCCTAAACCTAACCCTGTCCACCACTAGGTACCCTAACCCGTAATCGAGACCCTGTCTACCACTGGGAACCCTTACCCGTAATCGAGACCCTGTCCACCACTAGACACACTAATCCCTAATCGAGACCCTGTCTACCACTGGGTACCCTAACCCGTAATCGAGACCCTGTCTACCACTGGGAACCCTTACCCGTAATCGAGACCCTGTCCACCACTAGGTACCCTAACCCGTAATCTAGACCCTGTCCACCACTAGACACACTAACCCGTTATCGAGACCCTGTCCACCACTAGGTACACTAACCCGTAATCGAGACCCTGTCCACCACTAGACACACTAACCGGTAATCGAGACCCTGTCCACCACTAAACACACTAATCCCTAATCTAGACCCTGCCCACCACTAGGTACCCTAACCGGTAATCGAGACCCTGTCCACCACTAGACACACTAACACGTAATCTAGACCCTGTCCACTACTAGACACACTAATCCCTAATCTAGACCCTGTCCACCACTAGGTACCCTAACCGGTAATCGAGACCCT